GGAATTAGTTACATATCATATTATGAATGAAACCAGAAAGATGTTGGGCTGAATTTATTTATAATAAAGGTGGAGAATTCCACTGATCTGGAGAAAATCTTATTGTGTCCATAAATTCATGAGTTACTTCTGAAGCAATCTAAAAAGATTCTATGATTCTTAAAGATGGAGTAGTTTATTATGTATTCTTATTGCCAAACCAGTAGTTGAAAAAAGAAAATGACATCCTGAGAAAAAATGACCTTTCCTGATGAATAGGTCAAATGCCTTTGAGTCAAAATTTAGAGCTGTTTCGAGCCTTCTGAGGTAAGGAAGGCAGCAGATCATTACAAATTAATTGAGCCTTTTGATTTCTCATTTTTCATTTTCTATTTCAGCAATGGATATTCTTGAAGCGCAAGGAAGATTTAGAAAAGGTGTCACCTTTCAGAATTAAATGTAATTAGCACATTCCTTTCACTTCAATTTAGCCTGCAAAGCACATCCTAAGAAAAAGATTTAAGTGTCTTGAAATCAATTAACTTTGTGGTTATATTCAACTGGTGAAATAGCTATTCCATTATTTATATTAACTAGTGAATAACATATGGAACTTTAAAAAATCCTCTTTCCTCATTTCTCTTTTTAAAACTTTGGGTTTCTTGTTTAAGTGAACTGCTACTTCACAGAACCTTCCTGCTCATCTAAGCCACATCTTCTTTAACAAGCATTGCAAACCAGTAAGGATAGACCTGGAAGTGAAACAGGTACTGCTGGTGACCTGACATCTATACTTTATATTTTTTAGGGTTTTTCACTTTGAACTGATTCTTGTTAGATCTCATAGAGTGAGTCATGCTCATTTGCAGCTGGAGTCCATTATAATTTCTTGGCATGTCTTCCTGTGTGGTTTCATCGAAGAATAATCCAATTCATGTTCTCTGAGACAGCTTCATAACAGGAGACAAAGTGGGGAAAATCATGAGATATACTTCAAATAGTCACTCCTCATCCAGACAGACATATTGATATAGACTCATTAGTGCATTAATGCATTTTTTGTAGGGGCAATGAAAAAAATATAATCCTCAGCCCTGGTCAGGCCACGGCTGGAGTACTGTGTCCAGTTCAAGAGAGACATGGAATTCCTGGAGAGAGTCCAGCAAAGGTCTGCTAAAATAATGAGGGGACTGGAGCATCTCTCCTGTGAAGAAAGGCTGAGAGAGCTGGGCCTGTTCAGCCTGGAGAAAAGAAGGCTGAGGGGAGATCTGATCAATGTGTAGTAGTATCTGAAGGGAAGGTGTCAAGAGGATGGGGCCAGACTCCTCTCCGTGGTGCCCAGCGACAGGACAAGAGGCAACGGGCACAAACTGAAACACAGGGAATTCCATCTGAACATGAGGAAGAACTTTTTTCCTGTGAGGGTGCGAGAGCACTGGAACAGGTTGCCCAGAGAGATTGTGGAGTCTCCTTCCTTGGAGACATTCAAAAGCCATCTAGACAGGATGCTGGGCAATGTGGTCTAGGTGACCCTGCTTGAGCAGGGGGCTTGAACTAGATGATCTCCAGAGGTCCCATCCAACCTCAGGCATTCTGTGATTCTGTGTGATTCTGTGATTCTGTGATTCTGTTCTTTATTTTCTGGCTATGATACCTCTATTTTGTTATCTTTGAGGTGAGAACACCTATACAAGAAAATTATATAGTAAATAATATATTGTCATAAACAATAGATATTACAAATAGAGAATACTATGGTTTAAAATAATAAATTGAACATTAATTAGCATATTAAAAATTCTCTTCATTAATCTTGTGTTGTTATCTGATGCAGCACAGGGTTTTTGCTTTGCTTTTAGCATGACTTTGAAAACTCACAGCTGAATTTACAGGGTGGTTAGTAAATCTGAAGCAATAGCTGATGAAAAACTCTGAGGAGAGGTTGTCTCGTATATTTTTTGCCTTTTTTCTCTTCTTAATAAAGTAGACCTCTAATGAAAGTCGATCAAATCCCTTGAAGGATTTTGAAGAAGGGTTATGAGTAGATCTGTAGTTATCTAAAACTAGATGGCTGTCTTGCTTGAATGAATGCATACTTGTGATATTCAGTTGAGACAAATAAATAAAGGTTCCCTAGTGTTAAAAAGGTTTGAATAGTGAATGAAGAGTCTCTGGAGATAGCAACAGAGTGTATTGCATCTATTGTGTAGTATCTGTTTTTATTAATGACTTGAATATGAATATGAGTTCTTTGGGGAATTAGTATCCTTATTTCTAAAGTTCATGATTAGTAGAGTTGAGCACACCATCAAAAGTGATTAAGCTATCACAACTTAATTAGTCATTGCCCAGCATTTGAGCCAGAGTAATGATCATATATATGTGTTCTCCATCTGCCCTACATATAGGGTAAAATATAGTAGCTTAAGGCACTTTAAAATTATGAAGCCGATTCAAACTGTCATATTTTACTTTGCAACTGGGATGAGCAAGAGAGCAAAGCAATCAATTACCACAATGGCTGATAAGTGTAATGTGTAATTCTTCAATATTATACAATCTTTTTCTTAGTCAAAATACTTAACTATAGGCAAAGGGATGAATATTTTCTTTTGGCTTTGAAGGTCTCCAGCTGAGAGCCTTCTGAAATACACTAAATACACTCTATCAGTGTATTTATATATATTACTGTTTAAAATTAAGCTAGAAATGTGATCATCTTTCGTGGAAGCATTTTGGTACACTGTTTATAGCTATAGTCAAGCTTAGGATCATATTTGAATATTCACTCATAACAAAGTCATAATATTACTGTAAATGGTATTTGAAAGAATATGTAAGCTTAAGTAAGCTTAGTACCTATTATGATTTGATTTATGTAAATCAGGTTCCTGAATAACGCTAGTGTATTTTATAAGCATTTTGAAAGTATTTTCCTTTGGAAAAGTTTCATAACAAAAAAGTAACATCTTTACATTAGACTGATTTTCTTATTTATTGAATAGTATGTTAAGCTATTAACAATTTCTTTAAAGTTACATGCTGTTAATAGAGTTTATGAAAAATAGTCCGTTTAAGTGAAAAAATACCTCTGGGTGTCTGTTTCTGTGATCTTTGATCCTGAGGGTTATCTTGTTAACAATAGGGATATTTGCATGATAGGAAAGTTAACACAAAGACTGAAAACTAATTTCTGTGTTTTATATGCATATGCTGATTTGCCACTTGGTGCATATCACAGGAAGTAGAATCAAATTAGAATGAAATGTCATGCTTTATTTTGATGCCAACATACATTAATAATATATTACTCCTCCTACTTTGTAATTACTATAAAAATACATTTTTAAGCTTGCAACTATTTTTTTTAGGGGGGAGGATATAAAATTTGTAATACATATAGCACTTTCAATGATACCAGTTTCTAACCTTTTTGCAGACTTGTCCTCAGCTCTGTCTCTGACTACTTTGCTGCCATGTTTACAAGCGATGTTTGTGAAGCCAAGCAAGAAGAGATTAAAATGGAAGGCATAGACCCCAATGCACTGTGGGATCTTGTTCAGTTTGCATATACAGGTATTGCAATGGATGCATTATACTTCCTAGAAAGAAAGATGTGGATCATTTTCACTGCTACATACTGGTGAATTATATTTATGTTGTAAATATATATTCTTTTGACCTCAATCATTCAAAATAGCCATTCACCGTTTCTGAGGCTGAATTCAGATTGTGATCTCTATCCACCAAACTGCTATGCCTGGCTTTATAAGTACAGGGAACAGTCTAGAAAATTACGTATCTTTCTCGGTTTTGCAGTACTTGATGAAGGGGCCTCCTTCTATGAGAGATTTGGATCACGTGAGATCTTTTAAGGAATAGTTATATTTTTGCAGGAGTAGCACCATATTAATGTCTAGTCAAATTTCAGTTTGAATAATTGCATAGATTTTTTTAAAATGTTATTTTTATATGAGCTGGGTATTGTCACTTTCATTTCCTATCATAAGCTGGTACTATGCTGTGTAATGTAAATTTCTGAATAATTCATAATTTAGAGTTAATAACTCAGAATTTCCTTCTGCATAGTTATTGCATTTTAATGCATAATAATTTTTTTTTATCTTTCTAAAACAAACTTGTGCACAATCTATCTGAAATGCACTAATATAAAAGAATACTAAGGTTATACAATAATTAAAGGATAAGGTGCTAGTAACAAGATTTATCTGTAATCTGAATTTGTTTTCTTTTGCATATGTATCATCCAAATATAAATGGCAAGGGACAGAAAATCTTGACAGTTTTTTTTTAACTTGTGCAATCTCATATTTGACTTTTTTTTGAAATTTGGCATTTTAGTGGCTAGTTCATAGATGTAGAAGAGTGTAGTATATTTGAACTTTTAAGCCTTCAGAATAAGTCAAGAAAGATAATCAATAGTTTGTTAGTTTTTGATTTTTCAACTGGTCTCACATGTATTGTGAGCATGTATATATGTGTATTACAGTAATTTCTGAGGGTTGCCTATATAACGTTTTTCATTTCATATAGAAGATGTTAATTGGTTTTACTATTTTAATTTCTACAGTTTGTCCAAGGAACTAGTCATAATTGTATGGGTGATATGCTTCGAAAACCTTTAATTTCACATACAGTTATTTATGTTTGAGAGAAGCTTTTCTTCTAGGGACAACTGAAATTTCATTAAAATACAGATGAACATGGGCTGGTTTCAAAAAATCCTAGAAGTTAACAGTATTACATTGCAAATGATGTTAGATATTATTTTAAAAGAAAAAAAACCAACCATTTCCACATTATATTAACTGCAGTACTCTCAGGCAGTTCGATAAAGTGTTAGAATCTGGTGAAATTATTTCATTTTTAGTATGAATCATAAATAGTAGTTCAAGAAGAGTAAAACTGTACATATTTATTAGGAAGTGTTACTACAGATAAAGGCATCCTATACTGATGCCAGTGTACACCTTTCAGGTCAAGCAATAAAATTGAATACTATGGCCAGATATCAGAGCTAGAGTTTAGCAAAAGCAAGGTTTTGTACATCAGAGATGAAAAATAGGTGTATTTATCCAAAAGGGAAGTTGTTATTGTCTGCTATATCCTTTAGTAAAAACAGGAACAACATTAATTTAGTTACTAAATACACTGCTTTAGATATCTTGAAGTTTTCCTATTCATCCCTATTAATAATCATAATAACTTTTACTTGTGCGTTCCACTCATATGTTTCTGAAAGGAAAGTTTTCTGGACAGAATTTCTGGAATTGCTGTTCAGTGCCATTTCTTCTAATTCATTGAAATAGATGATAAATCCAGTTTTTTCAAACCAGCAAAATTATATTGTAATAATATGTCCCTCTTTTTTGTCCCTTTCTAAATGCATCTCACCACTGTGGGCAGAAGAGCCTTTATATTGGGCCAGATCATAAATTCATTTTCTCAGAGACTTTCCACAGATAATATCTGATAGTAGATGTTTAGTAACATGATACACATAGTGATATTTCTGCCGGAATATCTTCCTAGTTTCCATCCTTATGGAACATAACTTCATCCACTTTAGTATTCACTGGTCAAATACGAATTTGCCTAATTATTTGGAAGACATTTATAACTCTGGCCTCAACAGCACACTGTGGTAGTGAGTTAAAGTTTGTGAAATCTATGGATGCCTTTGGTCTGTGTAAATTTGCTGTCTAACAATTTTGTCTGTGCTCTCCTAGTTTCTACTTATGTGGGAAATAACAGATAATCATTTCTTTTCACCCTATCATCATTTTATCTCTCACTAATATACAAAATACACGTCTTGTTAGCAGATTATGCATTAATATCATGAATAGCATAAAAGCCATAAAGAAGTGCCACGCCAAGAGCAACGTCCTTCCATTCTAAAATCAGCACTTTTTACTACCTGTCATTATCCTTCTCTGAAGCTTCCTTTAAAGTGGCCTTTGGGCTAGTGTGGTGCCTAGCCTAGTCGGTGCTTGAGAACCCCTCTGATACTATCTTCTTTGATTATAAGTCTTCAACCAGGAGGCAAAAAAAAAACTGAGTAGGATTGTTGAAATTTATTCTTTCACTTCTGCAACTCAGCAGATTTTGAATGTGTTCTGAGACATCTCAAATTTTGTTAGAAGGATATAAATTTCGTGTTAGAATATTTTTGGCATGTTTTTAATCCTGTTAGAAAAGGGAGAGAAAAGTAAGGGTAAAAAAATGTATTTTTGGAGTAAGAGTGATTTTGAAGCTGGTCTAAAGATGGTAGGTTGCATTATTATACTATTCTTTTTCTGTCATTTGTAATTACAAATATGCTATTCCTAGGAGTTTTAGAATATGGGTCATAAAAGCTACTTTTTTCAGTAACTGAAAAAATCAATAAATCTTTAAACCTGTTCGTGATTGTAGATCTCAAAGTTGTAAAATCCAAAATCAAAATAGTTTCGTTCAAAATGTAAGGGGAATAAAATTAATCATATTTTTATCAGAAAGACCCAAGACCTATGCTGTTTCCCTAGGCTTATTTAAAGCTTGTATTGCAACTTAATTATATTGATGATAAGGCAGATTCTTGATCCAGTGGAAGAAAACATCCCTTTAGCCCCTCTGCTAAAGATAATATTTTCCTGAGATGCTATTAGCATAGGCATAACATTTCACTCTTGGTTGCTTATTTATTAGACTTACATATGTTAAATAAGCCCTGTATTTTAGGTTTTCATTTATAAGGGAAATGGTTCAACCTTCACTGATCTCAAAAAATGTATTAGTATTTTGTTGCTGCATTTTTTTATGATTTGATTTTGCAAATCATCCAAAAAGTTTTCTGTTCTAGTAAGACGTTAACAATTTTATCTATTTAGAGGTAAAAAATATATAGATTATGCACATATTAAAACAGCAGCAGCAGCAACAACAACAACAACGGAAGCTCTACTATCCAACAAAATAAAGGCCAGATTTATTGTCAAGATGTCCTGTTTTCATGATGAAATTGTGTTCATTTGACTATCAAGAACAATTTGTTATACACATTTTTGAGCCTTTAAAGTAATATTCAGAACTTCTGTGTTAAAAAAGACCACATAAAATTTCAGTGGAAAGAGAATAAAAAATACACATGTAGTAGCACTAGTAAATTTAATTAAAAAAAAAAAAAAAAAGGAAGTACAGTTTGTCTCTTTTCCTATTGTGTGAAGTCTGGATATTATCCAAAATGAACATTTTCAACTCTAATCAAGTTCAGGAGGAGCTTGCCATCTATAAGAAATACACATTTTAAATGAATCTAGGCTTTCAAACGTAATCATGTTTTCAAGGCCATACGTGTGAATAAAGCTGGGCAAATGCTTAAGTGAGATACAATGTTTGTTTGATTTTGCTAGTTTTCTTATAATTTTTCCTCCTTTTAAATGTGCAGTACTTCCTGACATTATTTTTTCTTTTTAAATAGATACTAATCTCTTAAAGACAGTAGTCGTACTGCTAATTATATTACGAAAGACTGTGTGCAACAGTAAATTGTCCTCTCTGTGTATCCTAAAGAGGCAGATGACAGAACCGTGACGTTCTGTGCTGCTGGACTGTGCTCACTGGCATATAAGCAAATAGGGTCCTAAATAGCCTGCAAAGTAGAATTACATGGTGCCCGGCAGAACATCAAGTCCAGTACAGACTTAATAAGAGCTTCTGCTAAATAAAGGCAGCAGTCCATCTGAACAGTAATGGGAAATCTGAACTACCAAACAATACTGAATTAGAGGGAGTGAAGGGTGCTAAATTTTCTGTGAAGAAGCCTCATGTGCAGCATTGCTAATTAGCAACTTAATTTGCTACATGTGTCTTTAAAACATAGTTTGGTTAAAGCTGGAAGACAAAGGAAATGTGTTAAAATATGTACTATGTAGGATATTTTAGGTGGGCTTTGGAGTTCTTTTGTTAGTTACTGCTTTTGTTTTATACATAAGGATTATAACTAAAGAATATAATTTTGTAAATAAATTATCCTTAATAAGGCAACTATCGTGTATTATTTTATTATCTGAAATAAATACAATATTTTCTAATTATGTAAGCTAAATTATAATGTAATTACAGCAGTATAGTATAATATCATTCAAATATATATTATATAAATATATATTATGTAAATCTGTTAGTAAAACACTGCATCATTTACTTCTATTTTCTCCTAATATCAATTGCTTATTCTTCAGTGTCGGTAGTCTGTAGTAGGTTTTTACTGCATTTACAACTCAGAGGATTTAATGAAAAATGACTTTCAGCTAGAGTCATACTTAAAATAAGAAAAAGCCTTTAAAAATCTTTAGATTGTATACTAAAGCATACATATGTCTGTATCAGACAAGGGAATGACAATAATAATTTTGTATATAACAGATTGATTTACAGGAATTTTAGTGAACACTTTCATGTGTTTAAAATATGAAATTATTTTGTCTGTGAACAATTTTTTTCCTATCTATTCAAAACTTCACTTACTTCAAAACTTCAAGCAGGCAGTTGATTTTAAACGTCAGCATTAA